TAATTTATTGTAAAAACTCGGCTTCCGGTGTGGCCTCGTAACCCAGACGGTTAGCGTGTTGGCCGTAGCCAAGCCTTGCCTTTGTTGTCATGAGTTTGAATCCCACAGAAGTCGCCGAGTTTTCACGACTGGGTTCATAGAGTTATTTCACATCTGCCAAAACCAATCAATGAAATGAACCTGATAGGCATTTGGATGATGCTATATTAATAGCTCAGGAAATCCTGCTTGGATAGACAGCTTACTGTATCAGAATTGGTGAATTTCATACGTTGCAGCAGAGACTGGGTAGGTAATTTGACCCAGATGTGATTAAGCTCACGGCGCCCGGTGGGACTTCAGACCTCAGGTAGTCAAAGCATTGGCTGTGCCCGAGCCTTTGCTATCGTGGGTTCGAAGCCCACAGAGGCCACCGAAATTTTCACAAATGGGTCAAAAGAATCTCGGATTTAGCCGAAGGAAAACATATCTATTGCTCATAAGAAGGGGATGCAAATAAGAAAAAGTAAATGAAGATACAGCAAAAGTAGTCACAGAAACCTGTGTTTTTATTCTAAGGATGTTTTAAATCATCCAAAGCTCCCTCAAATGAGATACTATTGACACTGCACTTTTCATGATAGCGTAGCAATGACCAATACAGCCATCCGCTTGCAGTCCATGGGTATTAACAGCACCTCTATTTGAGACAAGGACAAAATGTCTGACTGCTCAAGATAACGGCCTTCGAAATATTCTACAGAGGTCTGCTCGTCAAAGAAATTGCGATCTAATGGTAGGTGGGACGGGGGTGTGTGCTTCAAGGGCGGTAAAAACATTCAAAAAAGAAGTGAACGTAGTAGATAATCCAATTGCAGTAGAAACCTACGCAGTGAGATATGGATTGGACTGCCAGGTACGCAGTGACTCAAGAACGGCATAGAACACCGACTTCCACATTCCCTGTTCCACGTGGGCTGAGTTGCAGAAATCCAGGTCCTCCAAGATGACACGCTCAAAGGCTAGCATGAGACTACCACGCAGTTTCTCCACAGTGTCCCACCAGCGCAAGAAGAGCTTCTCCGGCTCTGTCATCTCCGTGTTTGTGGCCTCATCCGGCAGAGATTTCAGACCGAAGGCACACTGACCGGGTGGAATCATGAGAGCAGTCAGAGCGGCGTCCATTTGGACAATCTGAAGAACGATCTCAGCGACCGCGGGACTCGGTGGCTTGC